TCTAATTAATGTGTATAAATATATGCGTGCTTGGTATCAGGAAGGAAAGGGGCAACCTCTTCTCACTTATGCCCTGCGATAGGATTAGGAGCAATGGATACAAGCTGGAGCACAGGAAGTTCCACCTCAGCATGAGGAAGAACTTCTTTGCTGTAAGGGTTCCAGAGCACTGGAACAGGATCCCCAGGGAGTTTGTGGAGTCTCCTTCCTTGGAGACTTTTAAGACCCGTCTGGATGAGTTCCTGAGTGACCTGCTCTAGACTAGATGGTCCTGCTCTGGCAGGGGGGTTGGACTCAATGATCTCTGGAGGTTCCTTCCAACCCCTAACATTCTGTGATTCTGTGATTTTGGCATAATGAGTCACTTATTAAAACCTAGTGTATACTACAATAACACTAAATGTGTCCCAAATATTCATTTATATAACTACTGAACATGAAACCAGAACTTTATTAACTTGAGTCCAGGGACTAAACTAAAATTTCTGTCAGTCAGTAATGGGTCAACAAATAAGATCATTCTATTAAAAACAACAAACACCCACACATGCACAGAAAAACATCCTTCTGTGCGAAGATCTTGTATCTAAGTGCACATTCCTTCAGTTACATGGTCTAGCAGAGAGATTGTTATTGAATTGAGCAGTGATCCCTGACAGCAAGATGTTAAAACGTCTCAGGGAATGCAAAACAGACACTGAATTTTCATGAGAACACGACTTTAACACATTACTGGTGGCTTGTTCAGAAGCAGAACATTTAGACTAAATAGCGTTTAAGGCTCAGTTTCAAAATGTGAATACCTTCCCAAAACCCAGTGCTCACTACTGCAGTAGTTAGAGGAATCTGAGGTCTTCAACAACTGAAGCACAAGCAATACCTCTTTAACCAATTTCTGAACCAGCCATTGCACTTCCTCATCTTTTATTCTGGTTATTGGTTATTTTGTTTCTCAGCTCCTTTTCTTATTTTGGTTATATAAACTGACAAGAAAGCAGACTGAAGATTTCATTACAAGATTTTGAAGTCTATTTGAGACTTATTTGGCTGGTGCATTCAAGAGAAAACACTATAAATTCAAAATATTTGGATTTTATTACAGCAAACTAGTAGTTATTTGCTGCTAGAACAAAATGCTGAGAGTAATTGTGAAAGAGACTGGATGCATAATGCCCTGGAAACTTTCTCAAATAAACTCATAAAACTGCAAACTAATTTTATAATCTCTACCTATTTCTACCAAAAAAAAAAAAAATAAGAAAAAAAAATCAGTGAAGATAACCCCCAATATCACATGAACCAGGCACAGAAGCTGTCATTTTGAATTGTTCTCATTTATGAGCAAGGATTTTCCTAAGGAGAAATATCAGTGAAGTGAGAAAAATACTTACATGACGGACTGCTTGGAGTATTTCTGTCAATAAATTCATTGAAATTTAATAGAAATTCAGTGTTGTTTTCTGTTTTTTTTACATCATTACAGTATTCTCTGAAAAAGAACCAAAATGTCAGTCTTCTCAGATTTGTTTTCTTTAAAGCAGACATACATGGCTCAGCAATTTTAAAGTTCAAGCGGGACTTCCAACTACAATGAGGTGCCTGGTGCTACTGCATCAATTGCCTACACAGTCAATACTGAATGTTGACCACATTGAATATTTCTGGCACCGAGAGGAAACAGGGTGTTCAAGTGCCTGCCTAAATTTGAATAATAAGAAAATTCCTCATATGAGATAGATCACTGATTCCCAGCAAAAGCACTCAGGATTAGTGTAGGCCATGAAATTAGGATATCATAGAGTCTGTAACTTAAACAAGAAAATGCCCAGTGAATTTAGACTGCTCCTAGGTTAAACTGTATTGGGAAGTACATGAACTGCTGATTAAAACCCTGTCACTACGTGCTCAACCGAGGCCAGACTTATGGGATAAGGCTTTATGCTCTGAGAAGTCTTAAAGGCAATTTTAATAGGGTACACACCACATCAGTTTATAAAGTGTCTGTGTTTTGACATATGCAAAACAGAAAAACAGTAAACTACTGTCCTTTACATAACATAATAAAATAAAGCAATGTATCACTGGGCGATTCACTGAATGCAAGCAAGCACAATAAAAGTCACTTGGCATTTTGAAGGCAAATATTAGATGGTGAGTGGCATTAAAAAACTTTAATTAAAATGTACAGAGTATTCAGCAGTAACGCAGGGAGCTCTGTTTTTACACAAGCTTTTTATATTAATATTACGAACAAAAGAAGTCTGTTCAAGTATTTAATATAAATAAGCTATCTTATTATCCTTTACTTCACCATGATCCTGAAACGTTACAGGAAGAATGTGCCCTACCACACTAACATTCATAATTCAACACAGATCCATACCAAACAGGCTTTGTTCATATAGATCAGCCTAACAACTAGGGACTTCCTAGAAACTGCTAATTGGTAACATTGATTATCCATAACTTCAGGTCTTCAGAAAATTTAAACTTTTAAGCTAAGAACACATTCAAAGATAGAATACATTTTACAAGTAAGTCAGTACATTCACCGAAATCAACCTATTAATGAAAACTTAAAAGGATACAGAAATTTGTAAGATAGATAAGAAATGCAACAATTCTTAACTGATCTTGGTGGCATGGCATTTCCTTTACTTCTCATAACTACCTTTTAAAGGAACTTATTTTTAAGCTATTTATCATACCATGTTTCCCTTGCAAACACATCTACAAGGGCAACAAGACTGCACAATTTCACATGAAAAAAACAGGGAACTAATGAACTTACTCAACCAATTTTCAATAGCTCCATAATTTTTTATGTTCAATGAATCAAAAATTAATTCATCTTTAAATGATAGAGAGCTTTCAAATACTTTATGTTGGAGTTGTACAATATATTGATGTATTATAGTACTTATTTTACAAATGGAAGCTAAGGTACAAACCTGTAAAATCTTAAAAGTCACAACTACAAGAAACGAACAGACATAAAAGATTTCCATTAAAACATCAACATCAGATTTACAGTGCTCTTTGATTAACATAAACAGGAATCAGAGCCTGAATATGCTGCTTAAAACTCCAGCAAGAAGGAACGATTGATTTTGTAAAACATGAATTTAATAACTACTCTTTTACTTCATATTTTTTATTAAAATAAAACTTTATTGGTCAAGTCTGTACTTTGTAAATGTCATTAATCTGAACAAATGCCTATTTAGTGCTGAAATAATACTTATTACTGGGAAATTAACTAACCTTGGTGCTATAAAAGTATAGCCAGCTTCATCAAAATTATCAAGCTTCAGTGTTTCTGAATCTATAAAATGAAGAGTAAACATCAAGTAAGTAAACTGGATTTTTTGCCATCACTTTTATTCTTAAAATAGTAGACTAGCTTTTGCTTGCATCCATAAGTTTAGAAAGAAATGTTTGAGACACTTTCCTACTAATATACCATGTACATCTAAGCATTTTGCAGTATAGAAGAAACTACTTGATTATTGTAGACAACATACACTTGGCAACATTATCTAACAATTTATTTAGAGAAGACATTGCATTAACATGAAAACATGAAAGCTTATAAGAAGTTTTCATTAGAATCATAATCTGATACAAAGAAATGCTTGAGACATTGAGTTGTTAGAACATGAAGAAAAATGCTTCTAGTATTTTCTGCAATAAAGTTTAAAAAACTAATTCATATAAGCATGTATTTCAATGAGACTGAAAATAATGGCTTTAAAAGCTGGTGTCACTGAACACTTATAGGACCAGACAAAGAAGGATTAGGAATTAGCAACATATTGAAATGTGCATGAAAACAGAAAAACATTTCACTTTTTTTTTTTCTTTTCTATTGCTATGGTACCCAATGATCATGAGAAAAATCCTGAGATGAGGAATACAGAGGAGAATATCCAGTAGGAATAGAAATATAAGTGAAAAATATCAACTGCAGTAAACAGAAGGAAATTGAGCAACAAGAATATACTTGCCCTTTTCGATTCTCACTATCCATCAGAAAGAGAAAGCAGGGAAACAGAAAAAAAAAACAGGGTAAAGCAAAAGGGGTCACAAACCAATATTTTATTCAAACAGCCCCTTGAATAAAAATATTGTGCATAGATAGATCAAAGGTTCAATTTACATACAGCTGTAGTCTGGAAAAAAGACAAACACCTTTGAAGACTGAAGAGTAAGTCCTTCTCAATTATTTCTCAAGTACCTTCTATATACTGTGGCTATTTCAAGGGTCTGTTTTGCAAGTTATATTGATATAAGTGCAAAAACCAGATGACCTAATCCATCAAGGGAACCATATTCACTCACCAAAACTTTAAACTACTATTTGATAAAGTTACAAAATAAATCACTGATTATTAATAACTTGCATGCTCTACTTCATATGCAGAAGATGATGGTAAAGGACAGTAATTTAATGCTAAACAAGACTCCTCTAAACTAACCGTACCTGTGCCCGTTAGAGAGATTCACAGTGGGTTTGTAACTTCCCGTTTAACTGCATATTTGTTCAAGTTTATTGTGAAACTTGGATACAGTTAAAAGGATGAGTTTAATTTTGTCTGCTACCTAGATAACAATTAACCTATAACTAATAAACAAACAGCATTTGAATACTCACAAGCATCATTTCCAATTATCTCTCCAGAATACGTAAATGGCTTGAAATGAGTCTAATCTAAAATTACATTGCAAACACCCACTAAAACTATTTGTAAAACACAAAATAAAAACCCAGCTGCAAGCCAAAACAAACAGCACTTCCACATTAATCTATTCCTATGGGCAGCAAAGGTAATTTGCTAAATATCATACTGTAACTAGTGTAAAATAAAATAAAAAACCTAACCCTTTACTATTATAGTCTATATCATGACATTTAACTAATAGAATGAAAATAAATAGTATCCAGACCCTTAAAATGACAGCAACAGAGGATACACAAAGCAATGATTCTACAGGCACAGAGCAAGGGGGAAGGGGTTGTCAGTGGAACTGGGGTACCTGCACATATTCTATCTTTATAGAATATTTCTTGTACCTTGGATGTTACAATGGGTTAGAATCATTGCTGCAGATTTTGGGTACATCATGATAACATCAGTGAATTCCACAAAATTTATGAATTTTAAACATTATTTTTTTAAGTGAATCTGAGACTTGGCAATACTAGACAAAACCAGGGAACCTTCATAGTACTTACATCTGGCTTGAGTTATTGGTTCTTCTATTTTGGCTTTAATATAATAAAAGCTGTATGATGGTAACACCAATGCCAAACTGCAATAGAAACGAGACAAATAAAACAATCATGTTCTTTGCAGCAGTTTTCCACATTCAGCTTCTATGTGTTTTGAAAGCAGTTAACAAGTTCGGAAGTTGGGTCATTATGAGACGAAATAGTCATACAGTGACACACCAGCCTCACACTTTCTCACAGACACAAGTAGGTTTGTGCTGGCCTTAAAGTCCCCTGTAGTTATTTTCATTCTTATGTACACTTTTAAGCATAAATGCACTCTTTTAATGGATAAGAAAGGAATTTCCAAATAATTGTAAATAATAAAATACATGATTTCTTGTGTCTTCCTCTAACACATTTAGCATCCTAATATAACACGTCAAAATGATCACTGACTGTAAAAGCAGCATGTAGTACTGCATTGATTTATGTGTGTCACATAACAACAGACTCCTTTGACCAATAAAACAACTATTGGTATTCACTCAGAAGTGAATCTTGAATTCATATCACATTCAAGATGCAAAATATTTTCTTGAATTGTGCAGTCACCACTAAAAACCTTTGAACATAATTATGTGATAGCATTTTAAGATCTGCCAAGCCTTTGCAATGTATTTGCTTTTACATTATACTTTTTTTTTCTTCCCCAAAAATAAATGGCTTCTTTTTGCAACTAAATTCAATACATGTGTAGAAGAGTTCAGTTCTAAAACTGTATGCAAAGGACAGGAGGTATGAGCAATCATTAAAGAGGTATTATAATCTCCCATATCGCATCCTTAATGTTTGCACTCAAATTTCATCACTGTAGAACTGCCAAGGTTCCAAATGGATAGCCACAGAAATTAACATTTAAAAAGTTGTACAAATGAGACATAAATGAGATGACCTTTGATGATACGTTTGCCATTTAAACAGAACGTAAGTGATACTGGTAGGCGGCTATCACTAAATATTCAGTGATTCTCCTCCAGGGAAATTAGTTGCAGTTTACCTGTCATTAACAGTTACTGCTAGCAGAAATTGCTAATTAAAATTATAATTTTATGTTTAATAGGTTTTTTGCAATGTGACTCCACGGATTTATTGCTGTGTCTCATGCCAGGGAGTTCAGTAAGAATTAAGATGTCATATAAATCAAATATATTTCTTTACTGATTGCTAGGTGGCATAGCCTGCTAAAAGAACCTTTCTTTTCTTACAGAGTATAAAGACAGAGGCAGTTTCCATGACTAAAAGAACCTACATTTGCATTCTCTTGTTAAAATGGATTTCTTTGGTTTTACACACAAATTACAATTTGCATTCTCATTGGCTGTAAAACTGCACAGAACATAACAGAAAAGGAGAACCAGCTTGGCTGAGGACTGCTGGAACTCATCACAATAAAAGTATTGTTTTGGTAAAAATTTGACTCAGTGTTTGTACCATCTAGTTTTGAACTAGAGTAGCTTAAGGATTCTAGGACTTGGCAAAGCTTAACTTGTTTTAGGTAGCATCAAGTTTCTACATTCTTTCTGTTACAGAGCTATGTGCTTAAATGTGTTTGAAATAATAAACATGCCAATGTTGCATTCAAGGCAGGATGTACTTTCACCCATTCCTTCACTTGTTCCTGCTGCCATTCACCATATAATTCTTACATGCAAAGCAGTATCAGTGCTGACTGGTTAAAACTTGCCACAAATAGTTACAGATTTCAGAGATAATCAGTAGCATGGTTCCTGCCTTTAAGGTCTGACATGAAGGTTAGCAAAGACATGATATAAGCAATGACTGTGACTGAAAAAGGTTTGCACAAAACATGTCACATTTTTTATTTGGACTAAAATATAGCATCTTCCATTTTAATATGAACATTAAAACAAGAACATGGAAACAATGCAAAGAAAAGATTAAATAAGAGGAGAAACCTAAGAGAAAGTGTACAATTAAGAATCAAAGTATACTGTGAGACAGAAAGTAGGAGGAAAAGTAAAATTAATAAAATCAATCATAAAAATAGATTTTTTTTCCTGCATACTGATATACCATAGTGATAAATCTCAACAATTGGATGGAAGATTGAGGTTCTGGTCCCTAGACAGAGCAACAATTCTGATCTGTAAAGCTACAAAGAAACCCCTAAAATCTTACAGGCCTGAACACAAAACAATCTGGCCCTGACTTACCCTGACTTAACCTATGCTAATAATATCAACCAAAATGAAGAAAAATGACATTTAACTACACAGAAGGCAGAGGACAGAAATTAATTACCTGTAATCAGTGCCATTCACAGCAGTCCAGGTATATGTTCTGTTTCCTTTATCAATGTATCTCTGCAAAGAGGTATTGGTGGAAAAATAAAATAGCAAATCTGGAGCTTGAACAGGTGCAACCTTTCATTGATAAATACAGTGTAAAATTGGTGTAAAATTGGTGTAATACAGATAAATTGGTGTAAAATGTGTTGGAATTCTACTTATTATTTTGCTAAAAGCATGAGTTGAGCTGCAACTCCTTTTCATAAATATTTTCCAAACTTGTATTACACAAAAGAATCTCATACAACCTTTTTATTGAACATTAACGCAATGCAAATTTAAATAAAAGCAGATCAACATGACCCACCATTTTCCCTTTAAAACTCACTACCCAGGACTACACAAACTTTTTCTAAATTATTTAAATTAGGTAAAAGATGTTATCTCCTTTATGGAGCATTTTGCAGCTAAACTATGAAAAGAAAAAAAAACTCAATTATAAAAAGGCTTTGTAGTAACTTTTTAACAACAAAAACACCCAGCACTTGCCCTTTCAGGCTGCAGTACCACTGGCTAAATGCATTTATACTTGAGTCATATCTACAGGCACAGCCAGCCAATCCTGATTGTATAGGCACACCATGCTAAACTTACATGTTTCTAATCTCATTAGGAGGGTCTTGAATTTGTGAAAAATTTAACATTGAAGGAAATGTTTATTTTTAAATAACTTAATACCTTAGGATAAGACTTACAATTAATTTTCTTCGATATGAAAAATGTGATAGACACAGTCCCACAGTTTCTCACAGATTTACTCATTAATGCACCTGGCTGATACCATTTTACTCAGTTTTCTACTTTGAAAACTACAGGTTTATGCCAGCTGCAACTATTATTATTTTACAATCAGAGGTTTGTAAGTATGCCGGCAATGAAGTCTGTGCAGCTGTTGCACAGCAACGTTACAAACATACATGAAAGGCACCACAGGTATAGATCTATGTTCTTTCTTTCCCTGTGGTAAGACACAAATGTGAAAAAATGTTTGTGGCTATGAAAAATAGGTGTCTTTATGACATTTACAATTTGAAAACTTTTTCTCACCTGTCTGCTGCTTGTCATGGCTGTACAACATGACAGTGTAAATAATTTAATAGTCATTTTGGAAAGAAAATGAAGAAAATAAAAATTTTTAAAAATCTTATGTCAGTGTCTAATGGCCTGATAGATTTTTATTTAAGGTAAAAATAGGGATTAAGAGATTCATATCCAAATTTAATAATGTGCCTATACTATTATTTCAGCTCAAGAATAAGTAGACGCTTGAACCAGCACTGGCAGCCCCTCCAAATCAGGCACAGTGCCACATCATACACATTGGTAAAAGAAACACAGTGCCCACGGTGGGAGGGAAGGAAGAGAAGAACTGGCTTTTATTAAATGTTGTTGCCACCAGCACTATGAACATTCTTGAAAGCAAATTGGCTGAAACCTCACTTCGAAGATAACCCAGCAGCTCACATGTCCTCACACGTCAGCTCCTATCTGCCTTTGCCCACTTCATTACCGAGTGGCCCAAGACCATCTCAGCCCCAGCTGGTCGCTGCCAAAGAACCTACATGTTACTGAAGTTTCTGTGACCCTTCAGTTTTCACTACTGCCCACCCCAGCTGCCTGAATGTGGCAATGCTTTTGTTCCTATGGCATCTTCTCTGTTAGTTGGAAAGCCCCTGAGGCCTTGGGAGACTCCAGCAAACCCCACCCACGCCTGCTACGAGTCCAGTCTCTATGCTGTACTATGAGGTCATCTCCCAAGACACTGCTGGGGCCAGCTGCAATACAAAAGGAAAGCAATGCGAACTTAACTAAAAAGCAATACAAAATGGAGAAAAAATTTAAGCCTCAAGACTGCAACTGTCAGTTCGGAGCAACTGACTACTTCAGCCCTTCTCATAAGAAAGCATATGAAGCTATCAAGTCCCAAATGATGCAGAGCTCATGCATGACCCTTGGTCTGAAGCAGTTTTATTGTGGATCTAGCAGCTTGGGGCTGGGAGAGCGCAGTAGTTTGAAGCAGTCACCATTGCCATCTACTTTTGGCTGCTCCCTTCATCTCTCAGAGAGGTGTCAGTAGAGGAAGATATCTTGGGCCATGATGCAAGGAAAGGTGAGAGAGATGAATTTCATTGGGCACTTGAGACATCTGGGATCAATGGGCTTGGGATATTCTATTCAGATACAGGGCCATGTATAACTGTCACATTTTCCTGCACTTAGGGACATTACATTTCCCCCCAATTCCCAACACTGTAGCTGACTCCAGCATTTGCAAGTGTAAATGGTTCCCCTCCCTCCCTCTTTGGACAAACAGTTGCAGGACCAACTGTTTCTGGTCTTTCCTATCACACAACCTGAGAAATGGAAGGACAGCCTGGGATCTCTTCAGCAGCTTTGCCATTAAAGCAATTTCTTGTATAACCCCAATGGTGTTATTGTATTTTTGTGACCTTCTAATCCTCCCTTTTCTAACCGCCTACACACAGCCCTTTTCACCCATGGGCTTGGAAAGGCACTCCTTAAAAAAAACAATAAAAGTCTGAAAATGTCCCAGCGGGTCCCTCCCTTCAAGAGCAGTTTATCCCCAGCACAGATGACAGCAGGATCTTGGACCCTCTAGCAGTGGCTCAGGAATGAGCCCATCTCTCTTTGGAACAGAGTGACAGGCTGGTGACTTCCTAGACAGGATGGATGGATACAGGCGAAGCAGCAGAAGTGACATCAGAGGTGGCTCACCCTCCCTGCCCCAGGAAGGCCCTATCCATTCACCACCCTCCAGCAGTGGAACCAATCAGGAAAAGGCAGGTTTTTTTTTTTTTTCACGCAGCAGGACTTCCTCATAAACTGTAAAGCAGCATTGTAAAGCTTTACTCAGGAGGGCTGGGGCAGGGGCTTTATTGTGAGAAAGCACAGAAGAGTCCTGGCAGAGGGCAAGGGGACTGCTGGTAGAGGTCTCTGCTTTAGAATATCAGAAGAGGTAAAAGGCAGCATCAAGTCTGATACAGAGAAGGAGCATGGGCACATTAAGTGCAGTCATTGGACTCCAGAGGTTCAAGGACCATGACTTACGGGCATTCTTTGCACCTGGACAACATGTAAGGCTTGAGCTAAGTTGAGTTCCCTCAAAGAGATGGAAGTAGGAAAGTGTAACTGCTGTCTACATGATTACATGATCACGTAATCATCATTATCATCCCTGTCTTTCACCTAAAATCATCTACAATTACATTTCTCTGGCCCCACTGAAACTGAGGTTCTGCACTCAAGAAGAGAATCTGTGTGCTTCTGCACTTTCTGAATAGGGTACTAGAAGGAAGACAGCACCCAACACCAAGTCAAATTTCCTAGACTTTGTAATATAATAAAATACCATGACAACCTTTTTGCAATGAAGTCAAAATCTTGTTAGAAGGAAGTTGAATGAACACACAGATCTTAATCTGTCTCCTCACAAGTGGACACATATGCAAGCAAAGCCACTGATCTTGTCAATGACACCCAGAGCTCAGGAATAAAAAATGTCTCTGATGGATCTGCACAGTTGAGATGATCTTGAGCATGGCTTCCTGTCCTTTGCACTCCCTTTAAATTATGCTATTGGAAGCAGCTTGCTTGTCAAATCCACTGCAGATATTAAGAGGCTGAGGAATGGTCATGAGATGTCCAGCTCCACAGTCCTCAGTACAGGAAAGGCATGGATGTGTTGGAGTGGGTACAGAGAAGATCACAAAAATGATCAGATGGCTGGAACGCCTCTTTGATGAGGACAGGCTGAGAGAGTTGGGGTTGTTCAGCCTGGAGAAGAGAAGGGTCTGGGGACACCTTATGCAGCTTTTTGATATTTAAAGGGCACTCATAAGTAATATGCGGACAGACTTGTTAGCAGGGCCTGTTGCAACAGGACAAGGGGTGATGGTTTTAAACTAAAAGAGGGCAGATTTAGATATAAGGAAGAAATTATTTACATTGAAGGTGACGAAACACTGGAACAGGTTGCCCAGAGAGGTGGTACATGCCCCATCCCTGGAAACATTTCTGATGAGGTTAGACAGGGCTCTGAACAACCTGATCTAGGTGAAGATGTTCCTTCTTACTGGAGGGGGACTGGACTAGGTGACCACTCAAAGTCCCTTCCAACCCAAAGTATTCTATGAGTCAGTGGTTCTAAGTATGTTCCCAAAAGTCTGTTGCGCAAGCAAGTGACCATGAACTTGACGTTGTGAATACACAGCAAGGATAAACAATCAAGACATTTCAGGATATTCAGCTCCATTTTCAGCTTCATTTAGCAAAGGCAACATAGGCATTGCTGCCAATTTTCATCCACCAAGACAAGTTTCTACCACGTGTAATGCAAAAACAGATTAGACTATGAGATATTTTTTCTGTAACAAGAATAACTATGTGAGAATCTTCCCTCAATGCAGAATTGAGTCAGAGGACTGGCAACAGGAACTGCTCAGTATTGGGCATCACCTGGTGTAATCTGTCCAAAGTGTGAAGCAGAGTTTAAAAGCTGCTGCCATCTGTTAGACATCAGATGGAATATAAGTAAGGAAAGTGCTATTTTTTAACAGGTTAAAACCCCCCTAAACTCTGAGTCCTGATTTGTCAATTTAACTTGATTAGGTTCTATAGCATTTGCCTTGTGAGAAGGAGGGACTTTTCACTAGAACACTCCACCATACAGACAGCAGACCCATTAGAGATACCAAAGTCACAGGAGTGCAACAGGAAAGGGCAGCTCATAATACACATGAAAAGTTAACTGCACAGTCCCAAGCACTCCTGCTGAGTATTGTTTTGGTGTGCTTATATGTTGTGTAGAGACTGCTTGATGTTATATTTGCTTCACATTCTTCTGCTAAGTCATTAAATCAGCTGTCTTCAAACTGTTTTACAGAGTAAAACAGTTTCTAAAAGCTGTTGTAGAACTTTAACTGTGACGTACACTCTGGCCAGAACTGGTCCTTTGCCACACCAGTCTTAATTTCTTCTCATTAAGGTCTCCAAGAAGCAGAGTGTGTATCATTGAATCAGAGAAGGGTTTGGACTGGAAGGCACCTTAAAGATCATCTAGTTCTAATGTCCCTACCATGGGCAGGGACACGTCCCATTAGACCAAGTTGCTCAGAGCCCCATCCAGCCTGGCCTAGAACACATCCAGTAGTGGAGCCCATGTAAAAAGTTTCACTATAGTTGTCTTGTAGGCCCTCTTCAGATACTGGAAGGCCACACTAAGGTTTTTCCAGAGCCTTTTCTTCTTCAGGATGAACAACCCCAACTTTCTCTGCCTATCCACATAGGAGAGGTGTTCCAGCCCTCTGATCATCTTCATGGCCCTACTCTGGACTCACCCCAACCGGTCCACACCCTTCTTGTGTTGGGGGCTCCAGAGCTGGACACAGTACTCCAGGTGGGGACTCAGGAGTGTGGAGCAGAGGGCAAGAATCGCCTCCATTGACCTACTGGCCACACTTCTTTCGATGCAGCCCAAGATACATTTGGGTCTCTGGACTGAACTTGCACATCGTTGGCTCATGTTGAGCTTTTCATCAACCAGCACCCCCAAGTCTTTGTCATCAGGACTGCTCTCAATCCAGAGTCCTCCCAGCCCTTATTTGTACTTAGGATTGCCCGACTCAGGTTCAGGCCGCTTCACTTGGCCTTTTTGAACTATATGAGGTGGGCACGGGCCCAACTCTCAAACCTGTTAAGGCTGCTCTGGATGACATCCCTCCAGAGTGTCAACAAGAGCACACAGCTTGGTGGTCTCTGCAAACCTGCTGAGGGTGCACTCCATTTCACTGCGCATGTGTCACAAAGAAGTTAAGTAGCACCGGTCCCAGTATTGATCACTGAGGAACACCAGTTGTTACTGGTCTCCACTTGGACATCAAGCCATTCACTGCAATCTTTGAGTGCAACCATCCAGCCAATTCCTTATTCAGCAAGTGGTCCATCCATCAAATCCATATCTATCCAATTTAGAGACCAGGATGTCGTGCAGGACAGTGTCATACACTTTGCACAAGTCCAGGTAGACGACGTCAGTTGCTCTTCCCTTATTCACTGACACCGTACCTTCACTGTAAAAGGCCACCAAACTTGTTAGGCATGATTTGCCCTTGGTGAAAGCATGTTGGTTGCCACCAATCACCTACTCATTTCCCATGTGCCTTTGCAAACTCTTCAGGAGAATCTGCTCCATGATCTTGCTGGGCACAGAGGTGAGACTGACTGACCTGTAGTTGCCTGGGTCTTCATTTATTCCAGTTTTGAAAATGGCAGTTATGTTTCCTTCTCCAGTCAGTGGTGGGAACTTCAACGGATTGCCATGACTTTTCAAGTATGATGGAAAGCAGCTTAGCAACTACATCTGCCAGTTCCATTAGAACCCACAGACGGATCTCATCGGATCCCATGGATTTATACACCTTCAGGTTCTTTAGATGGTCTCAAACATGGTCCTCACTTATAATGGGAATATCTTATTTCTCCCAGCCTATGCTTTTGCCTTCTGCAACTTGGGAGGCACTGCTAGAGCTCTTGCCAGTGAAGTCTGAGGCAAAGAAGTCACTGAGTACCTCAGCCTTCTCCATTTCCCTTGTGACCAGGTCTAATGTTTCCTCAAAGAGAAACGCCACATCTTCCCTAGCTCTCCTTTTATCACTGGCATACCTGTAGAAGCTTTTCTTCTTACCCTTATGTCCCTGGCCAGATTTAATTCTATCTGGGCTTTAGCTTTCCTAACCTGATCCCTGGCTGCTCAAACAACTTTTTTGTTTTCTTTCCAGGCTACTTGTCCTTGCTTCCACTTTCTGTATACTTTCTTTTTGCATATAAGTGTGTCCAGAAGCTCCTTGTTCATCCAAGCAGGCCTCCTGGCTTTCTTGCCTGCCTTCCTCATTTTAGCATTGCTCCTGGGCTTGGATGAGATTGTCCTTGAATATTGACCAGCTTTCTTGGGCCCCTCTCCCTTCCAGGGCTTTATTCCATGGTACTTTACCAGGCAGATCCCAGAAGAGGTTGAAGTCTGTTCTCCAGATGTCCAGGGTAGTGAGTTTCCTGTGCACCCTCCTTGTTGAATTCCACAATTTCGTGGTTACTGCAGCCAAGGCTTACCTTGAGCTTCACGTTACCCATCAGCCCCTTCTTGTTGGTGAGAACAAAGTCTAGGATAGCACCTTTTCTCATTGGTTCCTCTACTTCTTGGAGAAGGAAATTGTCCAATCCATTCCAGGGACCTCCTGGATTGCTAGTGCCCTGCTGTGGTGTCCTTCCAACAGACACCAGAGTGGCTGAAATCCCCCATGAGGACCAGGGCTTGTGAATGTGAAGCCACTCCTAACTGTCTATAGAGAGCCCCAACCACTCAGTCTTACTAGTCAGGAGGCCTATAGCAGCTCCCCACTATGATGTCATCTTCCCCTGCCTTCCCTTTAACTCTGACTCATAAGATCTTGGTCATCTCCTCATCCACCCCCAGACCAAATTCCATGGACTCCAGCTGCTCATTGATGCAGAGGATGACAGCTGCTCCTCTTCTCCCCTGCCCATCTTTCCATGCTTCTATTCCCAGCACATCTCAGTGACACCAGTAACATCGTAGCTCTATTGGCATGTGCACACCTGTACCTCCTTGTTTGATGCCCATGCTCTGTGCATTTACATATAGGCATTTAAGTTGGGCTCCCACCAAAGATGATTTATTGGCTGGAATTCCATTACCTTGCACTTCAGGTGCTCTCTTGCTGGCCTGTGATTCTTCTACAGGCCCAGGGCATCTATTACTGGCCAAGTCTTTCACTGCTGCTCCCAGGGCTCTACAGTCCTTCTGGATACTCTTCAGACTGGTGGTGGCAGTATCACAGGTGCCCACACAGAACAGCACCACCAGACAGAAGTCAGTGGAACGTACAAAGTTCAGGAAGAGACATCCTTGATATGAGCCCCTGGTATGCAGCAGACCTCTCTAGACAGTAGATCAGGTTGGCAAATGGGTACCTCTGTACCTCTCAGAAGAGAGTCACCAACTCCTATCATCCATTGCTTTTTCTTGGTTGCACCAGTTGTTATACGTGGAACCAATCTGGCTGTACTACTCAGCTCTGAGGTGCCACCTGATGCAACCTTTCTTTTTTCCTCTTAAGTTTGCAGAGGTGTGAAGTGGTTCTGCAGGAGCACCTCAGGCTTTGAGGGATGTCTCTTCCTCCTCTAGTTCTTACCTCTGCAAGTTTCCATTTCTCAGTATTGTTGGCTTTCCCTCTATCTGGGTGTGCTGGTGGGGAGTTTTTGATGTTTGGCCATAGGTTCCCTGTGTATGTATGTATGTATGTATAGGTTCCATCTATGCATGTATATGATCATGGATGTATGGATCCATATCGAATTTGAGTATTTCCTGTTGCCAAGAAACATATCTATCTAAACAGAGAATACAGTAGCAATCTTTATCAGGAATGAGCATTTTGGACAAGAAAATAAAGAACTCAACAAGCTGTTCAGAAAGCACAAGGATATAATAAAACTGTAAGATGAATTTGCTTATCCTAAATAGTCTTCATTTATGGCATTAAAATATTATAATTTTTTTCTCACTGCTTTCTTCCCATTCAACCACAATACAAACTACCAAACCCATCCTCACACATCTCCACAAGCAAATTAAGTGCTTTGTTTTGGGATTCATACACAGAAGTAGGCTGGGTCCATTTCCTGGTCAACCTCATCAACAACTGCCTGATTAATGATGCACCAAAGAAACCAAGAAACAAAACAATTCTTCGTTTCATAAGTACATAATTTCTTTTACTATAAGCCAGTAAAACTAGAAAGTCTAGAGGGAAAAAAGACACAAATTGTCATTACAAAATGAATATTTTTTCACTGTTTCACAGTATTTTTCCGGTTTTGCTTGTCCCTGTAAGTGTAATTTCCTGTGTTCCTGTCTTACCTCATCTTGGGACTTGACCAGTGTTTCAAATGTTTTTTCTCCACTTTCTCCATCTATCATTTTTTTCCGAATCTACTGGCAAGGAAGAAAAAGGAAAAAAAAAGAAAAACAAACACCAAAACTAGTGTTGCATGTAACATGAATAAACTTTTCAGGGGTACAAAACGTTTCACAGAAACACGGAAAATAGTAATGCATATGAAAGTCACAGCTCTTGAAAAGTTACCTTTACAGTTTTCAGATTTTTCTAATTTGAAGTTGCTTTAACCAAATATATACTGAATCAGTAGTTACGAAGCAATTTGTGATATATTTGCAGACCAAGATCATCCCATAAAAGCCCTTGATGTTGGGCACTAGAGAGATTATCAATTCTGTGTGAATGAGGAGCTTTGTCAAGCATTTCTTGTGCTTTCCAGCACATCTGTACGATTCTGGTAGCAGCAGTGATTTACAAAAACTTTTATACCAGTCCAAGAGTAATTCCTCTCTGAAGCAGGCGTTTTAAAGACACTTAAGGCAGAGTATAACGGATACCAAGAAACGCTGATTAGTGTCGTTATGAAAGAACAATTTAAAACAAAATGAAACAATCTATTAAAAAAATGTATAAATGTTTTAAATCCCTGCATTTTAGTTCACAAAGTTAACAAAACTCTTTTTAAAAGTTCTGATTGCTTAATGTATTACAAAATTAGTAACTAAAAAATACTAATAGATTTTTAATACAATTTTTAATAGAGTGAAATTAAAAATATCAAAAGGTACTAAGGAACCAGGTAATCTCACCTCAACTTTAATATCATTTTCCAGTTCAGCATCTAGAAAATCCAGTGTAACAGGCTCCTGGGATTTAGGATTCTGAAGCAGAAGATATTGAATGATCAAATAATAAAGACAGAGCACCATAATGTTAAAAGTCATTCTAATCCCTTCATTTCAAAGTAAGTTACTTAAGTGTAAGTGGGCTTACTTACCCATCTATTTTAATCTCTTAAAGCATGATGAATTACAAGTGGTCCTTTCTCATTTATTTTATTTAATTAAAGAGGTTAATTGGGTAAGTGAAAATCAAATTAACAATGATGGCCAATGTCAGTCCACAGTCTGTTATGTATGGGGCTCATGCTGGCAAGCTGGTATGTCACAGACCTCAAAGGTGGGAGAAAATGCATCAGAGGACACATCAGATATGAATCTCTCATTAGGTGACCTGCCTCATAGAAGGATGAGAGAAATATGAGAGAGATTTCCAGCTGACCAGTAAGATGGGGCAATTGTATTCTTCTGCAGTTTGCCAAAAGTAGACTACAGACTTTCCATTCAGAAGTAGGAATGGACTGTGGTTTAAGATTCACAGAGGTAGTAAATGTAGCAAATTATTTGTTTGTTATAAATAATAAAAATAACTTATTGGCATTACAAGGCTTCCTTGAACACCTAGCAGTTTTGAATGCATTTCTCTTGACATCAGTACTCTTACCTCAGTTTAAGGGAGAGAAATCTGTAGCACAGAAATATTGTGACCCAGAAGCTTCAAGACCTAAGGAATGTGCGTGATATTGACTCCTTGACTATGGAGCACAGAGAATTTTGGTGGTCTGCATCTGTAGTAACTCTGGTCCCATAGGAGTGTGGGAAGACCACTGTAGTTCTGCTGACTAGCTCAGACCACCCTCCAGCCTCTGCTTCTTTCTCAGTTGCATTCTGCATTTTCTTGGCCATTTTCCATGTGAGTTGTTAGGAATCTGACTCTTTTTTTTTGAGTAATTTTGGCTAAGCCCTATTGACTTTATATTATGTGCGGTGTAAAAATCCTCAGTCCTCATCACTCAGTAGTTATTTAATGCACCCATCTAATGCAGGATCTTTAGAAAAAAGAGTATGGGGATATATCATTTAACCATTTAAACCTGAGAGTTCAAAATATACATCAAAAAAAAGTACAGATTGGGGTGGTGGTGGGTTTTTTTATTGTTTATAGAAATTTACTTTGTGGACCAGGACATTTCATACATAAAAGGATTTCAAGGCCTAGATTCCTCAGAAACTGAGCACTGTTTCTCAAATGGTTGGCAACACAAAAATTGTCATTAGCTAATACTATTACTTCAAGACTAGCATAATTTCTGATAGTGAACATTTTTAGGGCATTTTAGTGATTCAACTATACTAACCTATATACAGGGTAGACTAAAGTTCCTTCTTTCAAAATGACGATTATATTCCTCCTATCCTAACATTATCTGGCAAGGTTAAATGAGAAATGCACGTATCGATATTCTGTCAAAGAATAGAAGTCTCCAGTTTGTACTGGAAGAAAGTAGCATTCTAAACAGCTGCTAAAAGATGCCTTCATACTATTCTGGACCATTAAAAGCTTAACAGTAGCCCTTATTTTCAAGACTGGAATATAGAATAGTGTTAGAAGACAAAAGATTATTCCTTCATATTCTTGAGGAACAAATGTATGTGTTTCTGGGTAGATGGAATCATTCCTGTTTCTATCAAGTCAACATCTCTGCTAAAGGAAAAGCCAGTAAGTTTATTCTTGGAAAGAGAATAGGGACTTGAAAGATTTCAGAGAAAGATTGAATATTTCTTTTGAATGTCTACTGATAATTTCAAACTAGTTTTGTGTTCCTCTTTATATAGGATAGATAAGACTAGCAACTTTAATATAATAACATTAACATATGCTCTCTACTATTTCAAAACAATTTAATTATTGTCATGCAGTTGCTTCCCCCCCCCCAACAAATCCACACTCTTGAAATAAATAGCAAAAGGCTAAAATTTAAAAATAAATGAAAAAATGTATTTTCTTACATGCAATGGATAATGAATAGCATGGTCAAACCCAAACAGCATGCATGAAGGCATTGGCATGGCAGAGGAGCCATTTGTGAAGTTCACATTCCATTCCAACACACAAACGAACAGAGAAGAAAAGAAATGGTAAAAAAAAGAAAAATAAAAAAGCCATCACATCAAATAAAGGTAAATACTAATTTCAAATGATAACCTGGACTAGCTATAAATAAGGAGTCCCAAAGACAAAATAATTAACTTAAACACTCAGTCAAAATTCAAGAATACATTAACTCTTTGTTCTTGTTCTTTTTAAAACTTTTACTATATCACCACACATTCTTTTTAAGGTACTTATTAATGACTTTTAACAGATACAGAAACTAAGCATGTATAGATACATTATGTGATGTGCCTGAGGCACAAAGAAATCTATTATAAATTAGAATAGAAAATTGCTAGCACTCTACTTTAAATGGAAAACTTTCCCCCGCTATGTCTTTTTCCCCCAAGAATGTGTTTTCACCAATATTTGGGCTCCATAATTTTTTCTTCCAAGGTTGCCATTTACTGGGGTTTATTCCAAGCCATGAAGAAACAAACTTACTGTTCAGTTTGCTCTTCTCTTTATCCAGTCATGCACGTGACATGACCAGAACAAGCGCAACACCACCACATTCACCAGCACAACTTAATAAAACAAAACAGAAGTAAATCACTAGCAATGAAGCATGCAAATAAAGGGAGTGCAATCCATTTTCAGCATGACAAATAAAGGCAAAGATCTACTATTTCAATGGAAAATCAAGAAGGAAATAAAGAAAGAACTGGTGCAGCAACATAAAAAAAAATAGTTCATTAAAATGTTGTCCTGTGTTTTGGGAGTTCAGTATCCTCACAAACTCTACAGAAGGCCTTCTTTGCTGAGTTATATGAGCCTAGCTTGTACTCATACCTGCAGTATTACAAAGACACAGGCTGTTAGGCTTTTAAAATAAATGATAGTAAGAAGGCAGCAAGATCCTGGACTGCAGAGAGAGTCTCAGGATCATCTGGTGTGGATCGGAGCCCAGAGCTTTTCCAGAGCTGCACCTCCCTGGGCAGCCAGCACAGCCAGGCAAACCCAGCAACAGCCAAGTCTTATCACAGCACACTGAGGACTCAGAAAATTGGGATTTTCTTATGTTCCAGTGCTGCTTTTTCCAGTGCACAAATGAAAAATCTAGCCCAGAGGTGGCCTTCTACAGGTGGTATAAACGCAGCACTTGACACTTGGTGAAGTCACTGACATGAATTAGATCAGGATTTTACACCATGTTTTACTGGTGTTATACAAGCCACCAGGTTTGCAATATATATTCCCATACGTGTATGAAATTAACATGTCATACTTTACCTAATCTCATCATTTTGCTAGTTACGTAGTTAATAAATTCCTTTAATAATTGTTATGTTTTCATTAGGTGTTTTCTGCTCAGGGATAGCATTATATAAATGGTACTAATTTCCTTTCTCCTGTTCAGGTTAATGTCAGTTAATTCTCCAGAGCTGGGTCTGCTGAAC